CCCCCACTACAACAGACCACTGCCTGCGTTAGGTGCCCTTCAACGAGGGCCAGGGCAGTGGGGCCAGTGCGGGAAAGCCTGGCTGGGTCCCAGCACTTCTAGGGACCATGACCTTGGGCAGGGGACTCAGACTCTCTGAGCCCAATGTCTCCATCTATAAAATGGGGTGACGGGAGGTTCCGGGGACAGAATGACGGAACGTGGGTGGTGCCTCACCCAGAGGAAAGGCCCGAGCAACGGGAGCCCTTGGCCCCGTTCCTGTTGTCAGGGCGATGCCACCCTCATTGCACAAACGCAGAAAGCCCACTGATAGGTTCCATCTGTGTGTTGACCACCGCGGTGTTAGCTGAAAATACCGTATGTTGAGGGGTCCCCCAAACCTGCCCTTGGCCAATCATCAGATCCACCGTGTGTACCTGAAATTGAGAGTGGATGGTCTAGGATGGCCTGTGCCCCCCAGCATGTCTGACTTGATTGGACTCCCACCTGGGGAGAAGGGAAACTTGTTCCCACAGCTTGATAAAGCACCTGCTTGTCCCCGGTCTGAGTTAAGTGTTCAGGGCAAGAGGTCCCTGTCACCCTGGGCTCAGAGCCACCTCTCCCCTGTGGGGGGAGTCTCTTTCTCTGCCACAGAAGGGGTGTCGGAACAGGACGGGGGCAGCACGCTGCAGAGGGTGGCAGTCACCAGAGAGGACAGCGGGACCTACGTCTGCTGGGCAGAGAACAGAGTGGGCCGTGTGCAGGCCATCAGCTTTGTCCACGTGAAAGGTGGGGTCCGCTCAATCGACCTTCCTCCGTTCTCGGGAGATACAAGCCACATACCAAAAGTGAGGGGCTCTTCTCCCCGACTGCGCATCGCAGCCCCTCCCCTGGGAAGCTTTACAGGACAACAAGGTCCTGGTGCCTCTCCAGACTCCATCACAGTCTCTATTGTGGGGGTGGGGGTGGGTGGGGGAGGGGGTGGGAGGTGTCAGGCATCAGTACAAGGAGAGTTGGGGATCTGACCGACTGGCCTGTGACACTCACTCACTACCTGTAGCTGGGCAGTCCCCATGCGGGGGGTGGGGAGTGATGCTTGCCAACCTGTCCAATGAGCCCTTGTGGGGCAGCCCTTTAACCCTCAGTGACACCATGACTTCATTTGCTTAACTTCAGGAGGGGTGGGGATTGATGGAGGGACACAAACAGCCCAGGACACTAGGATGCAGATGCAGCTTCTGGTTAATTCAACCTCAGGAAACTGCAAAGGGCATCCAACATTTGAAATGAGCATCGAGAAAATCTGTGCACAGGGAGGGGTCTTAATGATCAGATGGCTCATATTTCTCAAGGTACCTGGCAGGGGAGATGGTGCTCTAGGGCTGAGCTAATCCGTCTCTAAGAGAATCTAACACACAGAGCACTGCCTTCCTGTGTGTGCCTGTGCCAGGCATCACAAATCAACCACAGCACCATTGCCACTCATCTTCAAAATCCTTCTCAACACAGCCTTCCTGGCGGATACTACCAGTCTTTTGGATTAGGCCCATGTGGTGGAGCGTGTTTGCCACCCTTGATGCACTTCACATCGTGCTGGGCTACCTGCCAGGAAACGCGGAAGGCCCCTGCCGGCAGAGGTTGGGCAAAACTGAGTCTGAAGAGAACCTTCTTCCTGACTCCTCTCTGATGTCACTCTGTGCAGAGGCTCCCATCCTGCAAGGGAAGGCCTTCTCCTACCTGGTGGAACCCGTGGGAGGCAGCATCCGGCTGGACTGTGTGGTCCATGGAGACCCAGTGCCCAACATCCGCTGGAACAAGGACGGTCTCCCGCTGTGGGGCAGCCTTCTCCGGCACCAGCTGCAGAACGGCTCCCTAGCCATCCACAGGACCGAGGTAGGAGGGCCTGGTACCTAGGGTGGGGCCGCCGGGGACAACCCTAGCTTCACCCTCTTTGTTCAGGAGGTGTCTTCAGCTGGGCGCGGGAGCCCACGGTTTCTCGGGCATTTTCCGACTCGTTGTTCGAAGCTCCTCCCAGTAACTGCACGTTCCTGTGCCTGTTACCCTGCCTAGTTGACAGAGGTTAATACTGTTTCTACCTCATCGGTGTCTGATGAGAAATCAATGAGACACACCATCTCGGGTGTTTCAGCATGCCTGGTCAGTGGCCACGGTCAGTCGTTGTTACTGCTTTTGGCAACCCCGGGAGACAGACCCCCCCCATTATAGAGAGGAAGATACTAAAGGGCAGAGCGGCTCATTGACTGGCCCTAGGCCCCATAACCAGTGAGTCCCCCAGGCAGGGCACATCACTCTGTATTTTAACTGCTACTGTGAAGGTCTTCTTCGTTAGACTGTGCTGTTGATGTTGTTGTGGGTCATTGTGAACACAGTCAGGCCTCCTGGTTCCTGCTGATTCCAAAGTTTGGGGAACTGGAGCTGTCCCAGTCTCCATTCTGCACCGCCAAGTTCCCCAGTGATCACACAGAACCTCATGATTCAGTCCTGACTCAAGCTTACCTTAGGGGTTCTTGATCACCAGCCTGGGA